CAAATGAAGCTTTTTACTGACTAGAAAAATCAAGCTGTTTTTGTCCTAGTATGGTGAGAATTACGGCAGTAAACTGTTCTTAATTAAGCTGCTCTTTATATATGCCATACTTCTTTCTTGCACATTGTTATCAGTGGTCGGACGAATTGATAGACCGCGTTGAACGCTTAGTCTATAGTGGTAAAAAAGAACTATATTCTAGATACAGCGATATAACTCTGACTTAGATCAGGGCCCGTTTTCTCGAACGCGAACCGTGGTTTAAAGTTAACTATTGTCCCTAGAAGGGGGAATTCTAGGTCACGTGACTGGGAGAGCAGGGGCGCCGAGGGAGGAGCAGTACCTAGATGCAAAATGGCCGCGGCATCGCTTCATAAGGGCTAATAGTTCTGCTTGGTTCTGCTGAACATTCATTTCGATCCGGCTGTTATATTAATGAAGCACCGTCAACCTATTAGCACGTCAAGCAAAGCGATAGTTCAGAGGGACTACTAAACTAACCAACGGCAGCACTCCGCGAACGCATCACTCGTCAGCAGTCCGGGATCCAAGACATATGACGGTACATAAGCCTTGCAAGTGTTTTTATGGCGAGTAAAAAAATGTTTTGGAACGAGTGTTGGTATATATTTATACTAACACGTTTAATTTGTTACACTATGCACGCCAATTCGTGAGCAGCGATTACTTTGCGGAGAAAGGGGGTTATCCTCAATAAAGTCTTCGTTCCGGGTGAATAGCTGAGACATTGTACTGTTTTTTCGTTCATAGTGCGCCGACAGAATGCCGACATCATCAAGGTTTCTACATACCCCGTTGGCCAGCAATTCAACGGTGACGAGAAGCTTAGCTTCTCGTCACCGGTGGATCGGTTGGGCAAACGGAAGAGAGGTCAAAAAGTTGAGCTCAGCAGAAATCGCAGAAACGTATGTCGCAAAAAAAAAAAAACGAGACTACAGCACCGGCGTTGCCAGACTGGAAGGCACACGAGAAAGTTATGCATTGTTTATGGCAAAACATATTGAAGGAAATGTTTCTTACATTTTCGACTATCCGTCGACAAACTCTAGCATAGTAGCTAAAATTTCTTCGTACCATCGGAAGCAAATAAATTGGTCTTCAAGTACAACATTACTATATTTTGACTTAAAATACCATACTAGAGCGATGACAACCAGCGGAAAAAGAGGATAAACAAAATGACTGGCTTGTTTCACCGATAGATGGTGCATCTCATTGCCCAATGAAAAATAATTATTGTTCTATATCCAGCCGTTTATCACAGTACCTAGGTACTTTTTCCTTCCTAGGCACCGTGGTTTACCAAACTGGGGTTACCATCGCTTCAAGAAAACCGGCCCAGATAGACCTGATGTAAACCAAAGAAATCTAATTTACATGATTTACTTTGACGACGCCCAAAGCTGCTCGGGGGGCCTAAAGTGTTGGGGACCCCCTATTCTAAAACTCTCTATTGTCTGGTTCATGGAGTTGCATTCAGAGCGACCCAGGCAACATGCTGATACGACAAAAATAAAAGGGTCACCGGGACAACTGTTTGCCCTACACAGCATGAGGGACGATGGAAAGTGCACCTAATTTCTTAGGCAATTACGAAATTTTCCTCTGCGGCTACTCAGCCCGGTTGAGGCTGTCGTTTTCATTGCTGTGGACACAACCAATGCAACTTCTCTCGTTCTACTTTGCTGGCCGTTGTGCCCACAGCAGCATTAAGAACAAATATCAAGATGATTTAAATCATGATTTAAATGAAACCGGTTTTACTATGATGATGTTAATCAAATCTTTCCCACAAAAAAAAATCGCAAAACATTTTTTTATTGACCATTTGTCTATCTTTCCTTGCTTTCTATGGGAATTTGCCTTGTGTTTGAATAAAAAAAAAAATCATCGCGCAGGGAAGATTTATCTTGGGCTGAACACGAGCACAAAGCAGTGATCTTCTGAGCAAATCGGAACTTTGGGCCTTATTTTTCTGCTCTCCACTTTGTTTGCCAGTTACATAATGTCTTATTGCAAGTTAATAAGAATGTGAAAGAAACAAAAAAAAAAAAGAAAAAAGTAATGTCCTACTGCAAAAAAAAATCACAACACGAAAAAAAAAAAGCTAATGTTCTTTTGCTAATTAATACAAATAAAGCTATTTTTACCCTACTATTGGGGAGCAGGACTGACCATGACGCCCCAAGCGGTTAACTTTAGAACTACACCGATGGGGAGAACAAATAAAATGACTCGGCGCTTGGCCGACATAACCAGACGCGGCGTCAGCATTCAGCTGGAGTTCCGTGTTCCGGTGAGGGGGATGGGGGGGCTCTTTTATTGCCACTCTGACCTGCAAGAACAATGCAGCCTGCACGGTGCCCCGCTCAGCACAAAAGCTTAAGAGGGTCAAGCTCGCATTCTCCGACGACTGCTTTCGGGGTAGATCCGGCACTTAACGTCACTTCGTCGATTGTTAGTATTTTTTTTCACTACACTGTGCCCCGTGCTGTATTGCAGATGATGACATGGACACGCCCATAAGGCCTGTGCACAAGCCTTATGTTGAGTAAACACCGAGGTGTGGGGAAACAAACCGGTCAGAGCGCCCCCTATAGTTTGATCTCCTGCCCAATGGCGGGGTTTACTCAATAATAAAGTTGATAATTCAACTGTACTTTAAATTTACAGTAATTTTTTCTTCCGTATTGTTTTCAGAATTCGGACGAACCGATCAATCGACCTGCCATATTGAAAAGTATATCTAATGATTAAGAATAACTATTCCATAGCTACAGATATAAATCAAATTAATCCAACTTAAAGTCCTTGCACAATGATTCTTACTTGAGTTAGCCCCCCATCCCCCTGGTGCTCATCTCAAGCTCCTTTGTTTCCCGCAGGTACAGTGCCCGCAATGCGTCTCCGACTGCTGTGCGCACCACATCCCAAAAAGTGGTGGCGTTTCGATTTTCGTTTGATAACGTCACAAAAGTGTCATGCCATTGCTGGCCCAAATTTGGCAGTGCCACAGCAGTGGTGGTGGATGTGGAGGACGCCTCTCCTGCCCGCCCCTCCGCCCCTCCGCCCCACACCCACCCACCCACCCACCCACCCACCCACCCACACCCACACCCACACCCACACCCACACACACACACACACACACACACACACAGAGAGAGAGAGAGAGAGAAAGAAAGAAAAGGTCCTGGCTATGACACTGGTTCTGCTGCAGGTTGCTCTCCAGCCTGACAGTCCACGAAAGCTTCGGCGGCCAGGAATCAAAATGGCGCGACAATAGGCCCGTAGCTCTCAAGTTTTGAGCAGCGCTCCAGGCGAGCAAAATAGAATATTTGGCTCGCGTTTCGAACATACGTTAATACGCTTCCCTACTACAGTTTTTTCTCCTCCGTTCCATCCTAAGTGCCAGCGTAGCAGAGGCTACAAGAGCGAGCTCCGAGCTTTCAGTGTCCCTGCCAAGCACGTGCGCTAGTGCAGTGCAAGCCTCGTTCAGGGGAACATGCCAGTGGAACATGCTTTAGCAAGCAGCTTCGGCTTCGCTATCAATAAAGTGAAACATACGGGCTCACGGAAGCCATGAAAGAAAGCAATAATATAAAAAAGCTGAAAGGAATGTTTAATGGGACGCTGAGGCTGCGAGCTGCATAATTATTTTTTTTTATTTTAGTTTTTTTATATATATATATATACGTTTTGTTATCGAGCGTTTACAGATGCTGACAGATGCTTGCATTCGAACGGAGCACGTGCAAAATCGAACGTTACAGCGCCGCCTGGATGGTGCTGCCAGCATAACATGGTCGCCTCTTGCGGACGTGCTCGCGCCCCCTGCCCGAGAGCAACGGGTCTATGGCGACACTTGCATTCTTTCATGCTTTTGTCCGGAATTTGCAAGGCCAACTGCTAGGATCGAAACATCCGAGAATGTGACGCTCTGGTTCTTGTGACGTCATTTGTTGCTACTTCCGGACCACTTTTGGTGCATAGGCTTGAAGGATGCTAAACACACCTGTCAGAGATCTGTTTCAGGCCATTGGTCTACTTTGTCATGTTCAGGAAACTTGCCAAATAAGCTGTGTCAGGATTCTTGTCCTGGATGCGGTACCGAATCGCCTCCAGCATACCTTTATGCAGCTGTTCGAGCCAGCAGCAATCATCATGCCATTGTGGTTCCCACAAACTTCTGCTCCTTTGACCACTCAAACAAGTTCGACCTAAGGTTGCAGGCAAGCTCAACCTCTTTAGGCTTCTTCCTGGGACCACAAAAGCGCCGTCGAAAGGCTCCCGTCGGCACTTTTTGAGGATGTCGAGCTCAACAACGCCGTAGCTCATGGCACCCGCAATGCTCAGCCCAGCAACCACAACAGTGACCTTGCACAGCAGCAAGGAGAGCAAATGCTGGGGCCAAGTGTCCATGTGGGCACCCCATCTTTCCAGAAATCAGCTCGAAGTTCACTGAAAACAATCCTACGTCTTCCACAACCTTTAGAAGACTGCATTAATTCTTTCATATTGAAGGCACTTACCCCATTCTAGTTTTAAACGCGCACTCCCGCTTGTTCGACCTGCAGCCGTTTCATCACCAGCTTGAGGTGCTTCATCTCTAGTTAATGGCATTCGCGGCCCCTCATGTTCCTCTGTTCTTCCGCTTCTCGTTCTCGTGTTTCAATGAGTTCCCAACATACGCACAATTCCTCGTCGCCAGCGCCGACACCCTGGATCGTCTTAGCAAGAAACGGTCTTCAGATAAATTTTTTTTTTTTTTTTTCGTGTATCGATTCCTAGCTTTTTACAAACCAGCAACAAGTTCGGCTTACTCGGCCTAGCTCCCGAGATGCGCCGAGTGCGACCCGCGCTTTTTTTTTCTTTCGGTTACCTCAACGCATCGCCTGTTTTGAGTGCAGCCCCGCCCCCGGTCCTAAAAGATTCTGGCTAAAATTCTGGCGCCCCCGAGAGTCACATCGAGCACTCACCCGCTCTCCACCGTCGAAGACGCTTGAGGCCATCCCACACCGCTGCCAACCAGTTGTGGGAACCGGGACGACCGGGACTGTGAAGGGCACCGGGTGATGTGAGAGCCAGAGGGAGCACGTTGCGGCAGGCAGGCATGACGAATACACCGGTTTACTTACATATTAGCGAGGCTTCGGCGTTCACTCACGTCGCGAGCTACAAGAGAGCTCGCGGACTGCGTTTTCAAGCGTCGCGTATCGATGTCCGAACGAGATTTCACATCTTTCACTGTTCTTAGAAAGCCGACGCCGACAGCCGTGCCTCTTTCGACGAAACCACGAATGAAACGCCGATTCGGACACCTTGCGCTTCGCTCGTGGACTAGCGCGCGTCTCTTCGCCGCGAAGGTCCATTGCGTCTTGAAGCGGAGACTCGACGTCTGATGGGCCCAGAAATGACGAACCAATCGTCGAACGCTGTCCCAGGCATAACTTGTGAGTCGGCGATCGCTAAATCATTTGAGCACGGTCAAAAATACGAATGGCCAACGAAGCCGAGGCGGCACCGAGCTGACCGAGCGCTTGAGCATCGTCAACAAACAAGTATCTCGTCTGATTTCGTCGTTGCCACCAGACACAAGACGCACTACAGCAAGTTGTTCCGTGTGTTCATGCTAATGCCCCTGCATAGAGAGAACACAGAAAACCAACCACACAGGCACCAACGGCATAATCTCTCGCTCGCCTCGACCGACCTCTTCATACGGATATCTTCGTTGTCGCCGTCTTGACATGCTTCACGAAACACGTGAGATATTTAACAGCCCATAAAAATGAAAAAGAAGCGCTTGAAACAGAGGTGGAAAGGGAAATTAATATGCAATGAAACACAACGACCAACGGATTGCAGAACACACAAACAGAAACTCCGGCGTCTAAAGCATCTAAAGCGTCTAAAGCATCTAAAAGTCCAAAGCATCTAAAGCGTCTAAAGTGTCTAAAGAGCCAGTGACTCACTCTCTTATTTTACAACAGTCTCGTATTGTATTACTGCATGCTCTAAAATTTAGTAATATATAATACGCTATATATTTAATATAAAACACAAATTTATACAAATATTTTTGTTTGAAAGTTGTTTGTCTTCTAATTTATAATTTATTTTCAACGCTGGTCGCCAAGCACTAGAGGCTCAGCTGGCGCTAGTGTGCTGTTGCATTTTGAAGCTTTGAAGCAGACAGCAAGCAGTCAGAAATAGTGCATTTCTCTTTGCGCTCGATTATAAGAGCAAATATCACGAATAATTTGTACGTACTAGGCACATTGGAACATTTCTCAGCCACGCAGACGAAATAATTGGTCAGTTGCAGCATTTTTATTTGAAATTCGTGGTATGAAAAACGGTATTAAAACCGCTTCGTACGTGTACTTATGTGCACTGTCGGACACTGTTAGCGCGAACACGGCGTCGACGCAAACGATCGAGGGACATGTGGAAAACCAAGACAGACGGCAAGAACTACGCAGTGACGCTGGATGAGTAACTCCTTGTGCACGCAGACGATCAAAATAAATTGAAAGCCACGTGCATCTTTCACCTAACCTCTCTTGGAATACTCATATTAACAACATTGTACAATCTGCTAATTGAAGTTTAGGCTACATCCGTCGAAATTTTAGATCTGTTCCCAATAACCTTAAGCGCCTCCTGTACGTTACTCTTGTCCGTCCCAAATTAGAATATGCGTCTTCAATTTGGCATCCTCATCAATCAACGCTAACTGATTTAATTGAATCTGTTCAGAGCCGTGCTGCACGCTTCATTTTTTCTGATTATTCCCGTTTTTCGATTGTCTCGTTAATGAAAGCTCACCTTGACCTTCCGCTATTATCTTCACGTCGTAGGATTTCTCGCCTTTGTCTTCTTCACAAGGTATTTTATACGCCCATCTTTAAACAATCTCTCTTAAACCCCCCATCATACATCTCGGCTAGAATTGACCATCCTTGTAAGATCGCCCGCCCACAATGCTTCACCCTCGCACACCAGAAGGCGCTCTTACCATCTGCGATTGTGGACTGGAATGACCTCCCCGAGAACCTCATCGGCATCACCGACAGTGGAAGATTTCGGGGCGCCATCACCAACTACTTCATGTAAACCCACTCCCCTCTGTAACGCCACTTGTGGCCCTGAGGGTATTATAAATAAATAAATAAATAAATAAATAAATAATATAGACCATTCCATTTAGCGCTCTCTGGGCGGCACCATTTTGTTCGACCGCAGCGCCCTCTCCACACATCCGGGAAGTTCAGCGGGTCCGGCGGGGTAAAACGAGAGAGAGGGCACGCGCCCGACTCCGCCAACTCCGCTAGCAGACGACAAGCCGGGAGGTTGGGGTTCTCCATCTTTGGGCTGTATCGGCGGGCTCTACCGAACATCGAACTCTCGCTCGTGGCTGCCGTTGTGAAGTGGTTCGCATTCTTAGAATAGTTGTGGCTACTCCAAAATCAGCCTATAGCTCTCTGTTGTTCTATTTTGCTAAATGATCAACTAGCATATCTTTTTTCCGTTACTTAAATATCAGTTGAGTCAGCTGGCAGTACTACCCTCAACTACTGCGTGTATTGCGGCAGGGGAGCATGTTTTATTTATTATTTCAGACTTCCACTCATGGTCGCTAAAGGCCTACACCAGTACAAACTTTTGTATAGTGAAAAAGGTACAGCAACCGGATTTACTTTTCGCCAAAGAGGCCGGCCATTCTGACACAATTTACTTTTTTATTTGCATGCAGGTAACAGCGTAATTGGACCCTGTGAGTCTTTTTATCTAGCATAATATTACACGACAACTGGCATACCAAAATCTGTGCTTGTAAGTTCCAAAATGACGCGATTTTAAACAGAGTTTGCACGCCAGCCGGACGCTGGCTACAGCCCACTCGGCGGAGCGGACGACATGCGGGGTGAGAGGGGGAGTGCATTTTTTTCTCTTTTACCCTCTCCGCTATGACCCTAATGGAACGGTCCATAGTCAGATTTGCAATAAATAAGTACTGCTTTATTCTTCCTGCTGATGAATATGTGCGAAGATGCTTGTTCTGGGTTCAAATCATCACCAGCACGGTCCAAATCTTTGCAAATAGGGTGAGCCAGAGAGCAGGTGCCCGATAAAAACTGCTTGACATAGAAAATAATAGAAAGACACCTTTCGTAGCTCATGTGCTTTATTTTTGCGTTCGAATGTTTCTTTAACCGATCGTAAAGGTGCACGCCGGAGTCATTTTCATCCGATGAGAGGACGGGCATATTAGCAATATACAACCACCACCGAAATGCTAGCAAACCTTGAACACACTCTACATTCCTTTCGATCGTTAGTTTGCTTAGAATCGTCGCTCGTTTTCGCATACCTTCCTTGAAACAGAGGTTTGGACCTGAAATAGAGCGAAGTTTAACATCGTTCAGTGGTAGAGAAAAATGTTGTAACTAAAGCAATTACATTTTCACAATACCAATAAAGGTGCATACTATCCGGTATAACCGAAATGAGAAAAGTTATTCATGTTATTTCCCGGCGAAGAGACATAATTCACGCGCGTTTTCCCATTGGAATACACAGGTGTGATATCTTGCGTTGTACACATGAGGGCGCCACCGCGGTGGTAAATAAACAGACGACGAAGACGATGCCTGACTGGGCCAGTCAGTGCGGTCTACGTCTTCGATTTGGAATGTTGTCCCTGACCTTGACTCCGGCAGCGTGCCTGGCGTGGATTATCACAACAGGAAGACTGGAAAAGTAGACTGCATGCTGTCTGCTTCAATTTGCAACCGGAAGTCCCGTAGACACTAGCGCCAGCTGAGCCTCTAGCGTTACTGTAATAACTCTATGGACGCGATCAGAGTAACTGTATAGGCTCTGCTTGCAGAGCCAGAGTATCGCGTTCCTTTTCCTTTCGCCGCCATCTCCGTATTGGCGGAGGAGTGGGCACGAGGGCAGAACTGGATCCGACCTTCGTGCGGGAAAGCGGCCTTCCAGAGCGCCGAATTTCGGGGGAATATATTTTCTGCTTCGAGTTCGCAAGATATAGATCCTAGACTAAAATTGAACGAACCGAAAGCTTAATAAGTCATTGAACATTATGTGCATCAACTGGGTACAATACAATCCTGTTTTTTTATAACGCGAGCGATGTTTTAGGACATCTGTTTCCAAGATATGGGAAGCAGACGACACGGCCGACGATCGCATAGCTCGCGTCTGCGGCTCTCACAGAGTGATACGCGATCGGCACATCCGGCCATCTCGGCGAGTCAGCGCGAGCTCTCGTCCGAAAGCGAGGGGACGGTGTTCTCGTCAGCCGCACTATTTTCCTTACGTAGCGCGCCGCAGCACGCCACAGCACGCCCCCTCGCATCTGCGCCTTCGTGTCCCTTGCAGAAACCGACCTTGGCTTTCCGCAGTGCTTGGCTCCAGAATGGCACCATTGTGGTACTCACAGTTACTCTAGACGCAATATTTTGGTGGCGCCACCTCGCGAGCGCTCTCCTGTGACAGAGCGGGTAGGATGTGAGCAGACGACGTGCTACGTAATATTAGGTCCGTTCGATTCGACTAGAAAGTTCTGAACCAGTTCTGTCCGAGTTCAGAGGAGTGCAGGAGTCGTGCATGCAGCGGCGGTGCAGAACCAGTGCAGCCGCCGCGCTAGGACTGGCGCTGTGATTGCCTTTCCGAGCAGAAACGCAGGGTGTCGTCTGCATCTGTTGGCTCTTGTTTCTCCACGCCACGTTGTATGCTACATTTAATTAGTTGCGGTTTGATGAGACCATTCGTGTTTCGTTTAAAGTATTATAACCGAATCTTTTCTGTGAATATTTTTTTTTTCGAGTGTACTAAAAACGTTTTCTGAGCGAAATATGTTTCTGTTTGCATTTTCAACGGCCGTTTGGTTCCTGTCGTTTCCCTAAGCGTTCGTGTCCTTCACATTCATTTAGCAATAGTAGAGTCACTCCAAGTCTTTCGAGTTTCGCATTTCGACGATAGGTTCGCGGCATCAGGATGATTTTCCGTTGGGAGTCAGTGGTGGCGGTCACCTCGAAGACGAAGGCCTGACGATAGCGTTTTGGCCACAACAGTTATTGACCGTAACTTTGGCGTCAAGCTGAAGCGTTTATTCTGATTCTCAAGAAAGACCTGCGTGGAACTACCAAGCCAATTCCGATTCTCGGTGTTTTTCTCATGCCCGTTAGTGGGCGTCCACA